ACGATATTTTATTGAAAGAAGATACATTTTGTTGGATCATAATTTTATAATTTTTATCGATAAGAAAAAAATAAATTTGAAAAATTATTTCTTATTTAATTATATATATATGTCAATTTAACTTTAAAAAGATTGTTAAAAAATATAGCGTAATTTATGTTTGATTATTCAATATCTCGTAAATTCTATGTAAAATAAAGATATATACTTTATCTTATCTTATCTATAAAATCTATCTAAGGATTAATTTTATTATACTATTCCTTTTATCGTTTTAGGATTGTTAGGGTTCAACTTACAATAAAATAAGAAAGACATTGTCCTAATGTTATTGTATGTATTCATTCTTCTTATTTGTAAATAAATTAAAAATTCTTTATTTGTGCCACGATATGTTTGCATGTTCATTCTTCCAAAATATTTCATAATTTAATTCTCCCTTTTCTTTTTTAATTTTTTCTTTTTTTTCCAATATAACTTTGATCTACCCAAAGATACACAATTGACAACATATCTCGTAACATATAATCATCGTAATCGTGTACGTTTCTACTTTAAATTCCATATACATATATATACATATATTAGCAATGATTCTCAAATAGTTTTATTAATAATAATAAAGATAAACGATACAAGGAGGGTAAAATCTTTCGCAAAAAATTTTTTGACATTTTTTTTTTTAATAAGATTAAAATTTCCACCTAATATCGTCAATTCAAATTTTAGGTTCTCACAATCCATCGGGATATCGTAATGAATTTTTAGATGATTTGGATTATATATACGATCGAGCAATCGAGGATGATTTCGAGGACGATTTCGTTACCAGTCAACGACGTTACAAGGAACGAGCTTCTGCTGCATTTGCCGAAGATATGGCTGAATTGAGGCGCAAACGGAGGGACATGCAGGTTATATTTGCACCCAGAATACGCGTATATAGTTGATTTGGAAAATATATTTATCACTGAAAAGAGGTGTACAAGATTTTTTGAGGTTAACAACTTGGGACGGGCTAGAAAATTTTCAGAATCTTATATACATATATATATTTATATATATTTATCATTATATTATTATATATATATTTATATATATTATTATATATATTTACATATATATGTAAACATTTTTGTTCTATTAAGGGGTGTAAAACTTTTGAATTGTCGGTTATCTTTGCAGGATCGTATATTCGACGTGATCGATTTGAACGCAGAAATCGAGAAAGCGAGGAATACGCTTGAACAAGCGGATATTATTTTCCAGCGACACGCGACGAAATTTGACAACACTGAGAATTACGATGACATGAGATTAAAAAAATTCCCCAATTTAGATGCTTTGCCAGAGAAACCAGCACCGAAAACCATAAAATTTGTGAAAATGCCTAATGTAAATATTGAACCGTGTGTGCCTCATCCTATAAAACCAAGACAAGAGAAAATTAATTTGTCAATAGAACCGAATGAAATCGCGGATCCTTTAAATACCATTACATTGTTGCCGTTGAAAAGAAAATTCTCGAATAAGAAGAAAAGCGTTTCATTCTAAAAAAAATTATTCAGTAAATATTTTAAGACATTATTGTATATGATAAAAAAAGAATATAAAAATGTACCCACATCATTTAATATTGTTATTTCAATAAAACATATACAGAAAATATTGCTTCAGAATTTACAATTTTATTCTATCTAGTTTAACTATCTTCAAGATAATCTTTAATTTATTATTATTTCCCCTCCTGTTTCATCTCTAGGTTTATCCTAATATATGATACCTATGCTTGATTATGAAACTATGCTATCTTTTAACATAGATGATATTAATATTGAATGGAGAAAAATGTACTTTACAATGTTACTTAACGATATATAATCTATTTACTTAAACAATACAGTCTTTGTACAAGTATTTTGAGACAAAAATTTTTCTATGAAAATTGAACATGAATTTTATATATATATATATAT